CTAACAAAAGCAAAGCTTCAAATGCTAATCGACCAAAATAAGCAAGGCTTGCAATTGTTTCAGCGCAAACATGACCAAAGCTTAGATATTGTTAAAGTTGCGAATAATGTCCAATACAGGCATGCAATGTCAATGGTGAAGATGGTGTATGATCTGCCTCGTACCCAGGCGCTTTAAATAATTACAATACATAAAGTATTCGGGTAGGTAGGCGACCCGCGATGGGGCTGTTGGAAAGGGTGCGTGCTGGGGAGCGCCTGGCAGTTCTTGTATACTGTCATGGCGGGTAAACATGGAATTTAATACAAAACGTTACCATTTATTTATTATCGTCATATACTCTGTGTGTAAAACCTTATTTTTTGACGAAGAGTCGAATTGAACGCCTTTGGCAAATAATAATAAATTTGTGGATGTTTGCAGTATTGCACACTTTGTGCAGTATTGGATAAAAAGTGTGCAGTATTGAATGCAAAAGTGTGTAGTATTGAAATGTGAAATACATTTCAACTTTGTATGTGCTGAAGGAGCAAAGTAGATGGAATATAAGGTTGAGAATTTCAAAATGCCTTTCTAACAAAATGAGTGAAGGCACAAACAAAGATTGGCCAAATATAGGCCAAATTCCGGTAATAATTCAAATATTTAGTATTTTACAACAATACAAATGCTCATCGACTATGCTCAAGGAAGTATCAAAAAGAGTATACTCAAAAAGAGTATACCCTTTCGAATTCAAATTAACCGTAATTTATTGTGGTAATTTGAAAGCTCTATTCATCGAGGATCATTTGTGTTGCATCAGCGAATTACTACAATAGATAATGGCTGATTTCAATTTGAAGGAGTTTACTTTTTTGAGGACACCCTGTATGTTGACATTATGTTCTACATAACAATTCAACGATGACTTCAGGGCCGTAGCGAAGGGATATTGGGGGTGGTTAAACCCCCCTCCCCCCCCCCTCAACTTTTTTAGATTAACATATTCGGAAAATCGGGTTGGCCATTCGGAAAATTACGGCAATAATAGTATAACAAAATTTTAGGTGTTAAACAGAGAAAATATAACATAATTGTGTTGTCAGTATCAACTGATTTACGAAATCATGGCATTTACATGAATAACATTTACCAAATCGTAAATCGGTAAATGTTTTTTGGTTTACCACATCTCAGGACCGTAGCAACTGGGGCGGGGGGTGTGTTGGTGTTGGCTGCAGCCCTCCCAATAATTTGCAAATAATCATTCTTTTTTTTAAATCATACAGACCTTTATCATTTACAGAATATACCTTTACAATATACCTGACAATTGATTAATTTTAAGCGGCTACATTATCCACTTTCCCGCAACTTCTCCAATATATAGATAATTAAATACGCCTTTGCGCATTTACTACTACTAAGCAAATTGTAAATTTCTACATACTAAAAGCTGTTTTTTGACCATCAGAATTCTGTCAAAACTTTCCCAATGTCCAGGAAATGGCATTTCAGATACTCTAAATTTAAAAATTTCCTTGGGCCTTTGGTCCCCGTTTCCAGCCCCCAATCAAAAAGAGCTTCCGGCTGCAGAACTGTATGCTTCTGTGGTATGTTTGTGCGTAAATTCGGCAATTTTTTGCAGACTTTAATTCAGTCAAAGTAAGGGAGTTGGTGCTGATAGCTGTTAAAAAGTCAGCGATTATAGAATTCGATAATAATAATAATAATAATAATAATAATAATAATAATAATAATAACACTTTATTTATTGAGGATAAACAGATAAAGTTACAACTTTTTTCCAATCTGATCCTCCTAAACTCTATAGACACAACAACAATAACATTAAACATGATTATTTTCAGTACTTCCTATAGGAGTATGAACAAATGAAATCATGGGTACAATGTAAAGTATTAACCAGTACTACAATCCAGTTGTTCATACCTCGAGAAAGCCCCAATTTACTAATTAGGCAATTTTCTAACTATGTCTAAATCATATTTACAGTACAGTATAACAAGTCGAAATACGCGTTGACATACAACTCACAAGTGTCTAAAGTGACATTATAAACATGACAGTATTTGTCACTTTCTCCATGTACGAACAACCGAAAGTTAGATCGTGCTCAGCTAAAACTGCAGGCATGAATTTCGGCAGTTCGTTCATCAAGAAAGCAACCAACTTATAGTCTTAATAAAAGAGAAAACATGCAACCAAACAAACACTAAATGTTCTTAACAAAGAAATACACTGTCACTGATACTTATTGGACTATATACTTATATTAAACAATTAATTACTGATGATAATTTTAAATGTCTTAATAAAGCCTTATGCTGTTAAGTTTAGTTGAACTCACGAGTTTCTGACTAAAGTAACTCTTCCAATATGTGTTGAATGACGCCTGCGATGTTATTTGCTTTGCCTCGTTAGGGAAATTGTTCCATAAGGTAGATGCCATAAATGAAAATCGTCGTTTTCCTGCGTTAGATCTTGCTTTTGGGATGTGAACATTATTATTCGCAATAGCTCTTGTTGAATGTTGGTAGGTTCGTTTTTTCATGAGGGTGCTGAGGCATGGTGGACTGATGTCATGTATGCATTTGAACGTCTGTAGTAGGATCCGGTGGCGAATGGTGTCATGAATTGGGATAAGGTTGATTTCTTTGAATAAGGTTATTGATGGGAAAGTGTAATCAGCGTTTAGAAGAATCCTCTTGGCACGTTTTTGGGCAGATGTTACACGTCCAAGAGCGTCTGTACTACAATTACCCCAAACGCTACAACAATATTCGAGTGTTGGCTTTGCTATGCTGTTATAAAGGAGAAGGAGGAGCTTGGGTGTAAGGTAAGGTTTGGCTCGTTTCACAAGTTCAAGTTTGTTGTTGTATTTCTTGATAACGTGAGAAATATGGGTGTTCCATGTGAGTGAGTCATCCATGTGCACACCAAGTAGTTTTTCGCAGGTTGTTTGGGAGATGGTGGTTCCGCAGATAAAAACATTGAGCGGTTCGTTGATGGTTGAAAGTTTTTGTCGTGATACAATAAGCATGACCTTAGTCTTGTTGGGATGGATGGCCATTCTATTCTCGGAGGCCAGGTTATTTAAGTTGTTAGCACCAGTTTGTAGATGTGATCTAACGGTGTTGATGGATCAGTGTCCCTGACTTGACCAAGGTACTGGTGGTGTCATCCACATAAGAGTAGGAATTGCATTTTTTGTTAACAAATGGTATATGTCGTTGATGAATAAAATGAAGAGAAGTGGTCCAAGTGATGAACTTTGTGGAACACCGGTATGTACTGGTAGGAGATCTGAAGTTGCACGTCCGATGGACACTAATTGCTTTCGTTCCGTGAGATAAGACTTGAACCACTGGAGTGTTGAATTTTTAATACCATAAATGGCAAGTTTCTGTAGTAGGAGGTCATGGCTTATAAGGTCGAACGCTTTCCGGAAGTCTATAAGGAGAATTCCGCTGAGATTTCCTTTGTCCATATCATTAAGTAGCGAGTCTGTAAGTTGGAGTAACATTGTTTCACAAGAGTGGAAAGGTCGTGATCCAAATTGAGAACTGGTGAGCAAGTTGTGTTCTTGAAGGTAACCAAGTAGATGTAGACCATAAAAGCGCTCCAAGATCTTAGATAGCACTATACACATATACACTTTGGTGTAAGGTTTAAGAATTAATGGGTATTATATATATATATATATATATATATATATATATATATATATATATATATATATATATATATATATATATATATATATATATATATTATATATAGAATTTCGCTTACCTCAAAATTTCGCAACAGTCTGTTTCATCAGTAAAGAATCATCAGGCGGTATGACAAGAAACTTGTCATACCGCCTGATGATTCTTTACTGATGAAACAGACTGTTGCGGGATTTTGAGGTAAGCGAAATTCTACATTTGCTCTATCTTTATGATATTGAGCACTCTTTGCGTTTCGTATACACAAACCTACTCGTATATTATATATATATATATATATATATATATATATATATATATATATATATATATATATATATATATATATATATATATATATATATATATAATTTAGGTGAGACTCTAAAAGAAAAGCCTTCGATCGTGACATTTATACTTTTTAATGATTCGTAAATACGTGATTATTAGTGCAGGCTACTAGTTCTCCAAGACATGGAAACAGAGTTTTAAAAAAATGCGGAGATGTGCCGACCTAGGTCAGATTTAGGTCGGCTTTTTTTTGCTGACCTCAATTTTGACGGTTTTCGAGGGCTGATTTAAAAATTAAAAGGGCAAAATTTTTAAAATTTGTGAATTCCTCCATTTTGAAATTTTTTACAGCAATAAAGAAAATAAAATTCAAAGTTTGTATCCTGAATGCTAATTGGCTAGTTGTAAATTCAAATATTAATCCTATGTTCTTGCACAACTCCAGACTTTGAAGACCAACAAAGCTATCGGTTTGGACAAAATAAGCGCAAGACTGTTAAAATGTGCGTCTTGTTCAATCAGCAAGTCTGTAACAAGATTACTTAATCTTTCCATCAAGAGCAACCATTTTTCAAAGATTTGGAAATGTGCTATGGTCACGGCCCTATTTAAATCCAATCCTACAAACTGTCGTCCTATCTCGGTCTTGCCTATACTCTAAGTAAGATCTTAGAGAGGACCGTTCACTCGCAATTGTATAGCCACCTAATTACTAACAACTTGCTCACAAGCAAGCAGTTTGGATTTCGACAAAGGTCGAACTGACCAACTGACAAACCTGACCAACTTTGCGGATGAAACTCTGAGTAACATGGAATGTGGAAGGCTTTGTGGAGCTGTATTTCTAGATTAGACTTGGATCAATTCCGTCTCTCTAGAGTCCGAGTCGCCAAGCGACGAGATTAGAGTCCGAGTCGCGAAGCGACGAGATCGAGCGCGCCGGGAAGCGGCGCGCGAGGGAGGGAGGGAGGGAGGGAGGGAGAGACGGACTTGGCTCACCTGCAATGTTTCGAATCAGATTAATTATTTTGGCAGGAAATTATATTAATAGATAGGTGTTATTAATTCTAAAGCGGTTTTGTTACAAATACGGAAGTCCGCAAGTGTCAGGGCAATTAAAATATAAAAGTCACTGCAAAATAAAAGCAATATATCAACATTTCTTTGTTATCATTGACATTGTGACCGATTCTGAGACGCTCGTCGCTTGACGTAAGAACAACGTCTGTGAACAGGCTACTAAAACTTCAGTCGAACAGATTTGTCTAATGTTAATAAAAATACGAATCGCTTCAATCGTTTCTGGCGAAGTTTCAGCGTCAAAACAAGAGGGTCTTAATGGGGGTCTTTGGGTGTCAGTTGTCAGCTAAAATTTAAGCCAGTTGTCAGTTGTCAGTGCGATATATTGCAAGCTGTCAGTAGTCAGTTACTGCAAAAAAGCCGACTCGTCATTTCTTCATCATTTCTCAGTTGTCAGTTAGGATATTTTGTCAGTTGTCAGTCAAAAATTCAGGCAAATGTCAGTAGTCAGTTAACCCCATTCAGACCCTCAAACAAGCAGCTGAGATGTCTTTTAACTGGAGACTAGCCACTTGATCTCTCATGAGAGATAGTAAAGGGGCGATGACCAAGCAGACAGAGCCAATACTTTCCCGTACGCCATGGCTTATAAAGTCGAAGGGAGCTATTTGAAAAACTAGACTCTTCCCTGACCCAGTTGGAGCAACCATAAGAACATCTCGACCAGCCACATTATAAGCTTCGACAACTCTTCGCTGAATGGCTGATTGTCCATAATTTTATCGTATCCTAGTTTACGCAAGCCATAATTAACACCGTCTCGAAACGAATTCATAATTTAATATAAAGTATACCTATACAATTTAAAACCAGACACGAAGAGAGATAGCACGCTATATATTTTGAAACAAGATGCTTTGTAATTTCCGCTTTATTGCAATTAGCATAAATTATTGTAATCTAGTTATGACGTGTTACCGACGGAAAAACGGGTCGGTAAATTTGGCGCGCTTGCAGGTGAGCCAAGTCAGTCTCTCCTTCAAAACTTTCCCGCGTTATTGCACCTCGCGGCGCACTCGATTCCTCGGACTCTTGAGAGACGGACTTGATCCAAGTCTATTTCTAGATTTGTCGAAGGCATTCGATACAGTGGACCACAACATCTTACTCCACAAACTTAAAGCGATGGGTGTGTCATCTAGCACCGTAGGTTGGTTTGAGTCCTACCTGAGCACCGGATGCAACAAACCTCTTGTGGAAGTGAATTGTCAGACGCTCTTCCTGTCACTTTTGGAGTACCCCAGGGGAGCATTTTGGGCCCACTTCTCTTTGTGTACATAAACGATCTGCCCAGTATTACCAATAAATGCAATGTTTCCTTGTATGCCGACGACACAGTCTGGTATTGCTACGCCTCAGAAGTCAATGATCTTGAAAAAAATCTTAATGAAGATTTCCTCAAGTTAGCGATTTGGTTAAATGAGAATAAGCTGACACTGAATTTAAATAAAACTCGATCAATGATTATAGGCAGTGATAGGAGGTTATGTAATATATCTTTGATATCTGTCTCTGTCAACAATACTGAAGTCTCCAACGCCAGCAATTTAAAGTACTTGGAGTCACCATCACAGCCAACTTCACCTGGTCAGAACATATAGATCACATTTCCGCTAAAGTCAATCATCGCCTAGTTCTACTTCGTAGGATTAAACACCTGCTACCATTTAATGCACGAATCCTTTTTTATACCAGTCTCGTACTCCCAATCTTTGACTATGCGGATGTTATATGGGGAGACAAAAATAATACAGTGTTAATGAACAATCTTCAGATACTCCAGAACAAAGCCGCCTAGATTGTTTTACATAGACCATATTTTTTTATCGGCAACAGACGCGTTAAACACTTTAGGCTGGACCACTCTTGAACAACGCAGATTGTATCATAGATGTTTATTTGTTTTTAAGTGTCTAAATAATCATACTTCACATGGATTTGAACTTCTAGCGAACAGATAAATACACAATTACAATACGCGATATAAGGACAATTTAAGGCCACCTAAAATGTCAAGGAATTGGGGAAAGCAAAGACTCCCTTATCAGGCCATAACAGACTAGAACAACTTGGACAGAAAGATAAAACTATCTACTAGTATTTCTAAATTTAAGAGAAACTTTTTTAGCAATCTTTGAACTTTCCCTTGTATAATTTTTTAATATTTTTCATAGTTATGTAGTATATGCATGTCTTCCTTGTATAATAGTTTATTTAGTTCAGGACCTTTCTGAAAATCACTTTGTGAGAAAGCTTCCTGAAATTAAATATTAATTAAAAAAAATACTAGACTGATTTCCATTGGCTGTAGACAAGAGTGCGATTACAGCTCAGAAAAGGTGCGATTAATGCTCATGCAAATCGCACTCCTGTAAACCAATGAAATTGCAGTATTTGCCACTGATTAAAGAAGATAAATAATTAATTAATCAGCGCCCCCCCCCCCTCAAAAAAAAAGAAAAATTTTGAGAATCAAGCCATTCGGGCAAGGGATTCACCCAGATTCGGGCAAAAAAGAATTATCTAACCTGATAGTTAAATAATAACAACAGCACATATACCTTACTTGGCACTGCAAGACACTATGAGTGATGTGCAACCACTCCGAAATGCACTAGGGACATTGCAAATCTGTATAATTTATTGGAGGTAAGTCCATAACGCCATGCCGTGTTTATTTCTGTTAAGATAGATGGTGATCACCTTGTTCTCACACTAAAATCTTTGAGTGAAACGAAGTGGTCCTTCAGATATGGGAAGCAGTAGAAGCAGTCACCGAGGAAATCAAAGCTCTTCTCGAAATCGAAGCTCAAAGCTCTTCTCATTTTAGCAAAGGATAAGGATACTAAGACGTACATTGACAGTATCGCCATTTTGAATGCCACTTGTGATTTTGAACTCGTATTTGGCTTGATTCTTCCGAAGGTGATATTATCAAAAACAAGCAGTCTAAGTAACTATCTACAAGGGAAAGGCGTTGACGTTATCACTGCAAAAATGTGCCGATCTCACCATCAACACGCTCCGTAAATGTCGCAACGAAAAGAATTTTGAACTCTTGTGGGAAAGAGCACAGATCATGTCCAATGAAATGAGAAAGGCCATCAAGGGATCTCGTTTCGTATTCAAAGAGGCAATGGCAACCCAGGCAAACCATCCCGTCGCCTGCAAGCAATTATATCGGTTAATCCCAGTGAACTCTAATAATAACTGGAAGCTTAAGGCTAAGTCAGGGGGGGGGGAGTTGAGCCGTGCTTGAAGCTTTTTTTGTAGGTAGACCCAGTCCTTTTTACATTTTTTTTTCAAAATATGCACATTTTTTGATCAGAAAAATCTTGCCCTAAAATATTAGTTATACTACCAAATTTAATTTATATCAGTAATATGATAAATGAATTTAATATTCGCAAAGCAAACAAATCACGAATTAGCAAAAAAATACGAAAAAACACGGCCATAAGCATGAACGGTCAGAAAAACCGCGCGTTTTAGGCTGCTTTTTCTGAGTTTTTGGAAGTTTAAGATAAAACTAAGACGTCGTACCTCAGGAATTATTTA